ATAATTATTAGCAACAGTTGTAAAATGAATGGAAGTCCTATGCATTATAATACATTAATTATGGGAGAGAATTCTGATTTATATGTTGTAGGCCAATGCATAAAAGCTTAAGTTTAAGAATTTCAAAAGCTGCTGATTTTTCTACATTATTTTCATATCTACACTATACTACTTGAGAAACAGCAAATATTCTTGTTAAAACATGAATTTTGAGCTATCTGATTTAAACATGTTGAAAACTGAAGAACAGTTTTGCTTTGCCCCTCGTAAAAAAAGAAACGAGAAATATATTTCTGTTTTAAGGATCAGAATAACCAGATTTCATCTCAACACAATTTGTACACACTGTACATACAGGGTGCATCTACATGAGACACTAGCTGCACAGAAGTCTAATAACACTGTGCAGTAGCGTCCTGGGCAAAACCTATGCTAATATGGTAGTAAGCAGTATTATTAGGCTACTGTGCAGTTAGCATCAGTAAAGACCCATGCAACAGCGCTACTGCACAGGAAGTGCCAGTTACTGTGCATTGATTTAGTACTTGGTTATGCATATACTAAACTTAATGTGCAGTAACTACAGTGCATTAATGAATGTGTAGACCCACCTACTGGGTGCATCTACATGTGCCCCTATGACACCATTGTTACTGCACTGTCATTTAGCACTTCCTTTAGGAAGGAAGTACCTAAAGGAAATAGTAAATGACAGCACAGTAACAGCCATTACTGTGCCGTGCCAGCGGTGCACAGTTATTTTTAGCCACTATGTTGCTGTAGTGATGCACTATAGGGAGGGAGCGCATCACTACAGCAAGATAGCTGTGGCATCACGGTTTGTGCCCACTGATCTATGTTGCCATGCCGTGTTGCTACAGTGACATAGCGTCTCATGTAGACATGCCCACAGAGAACAAATCAACTTCACTAGACTAGCTGAATACATGTTATTTCTGTTTGGTCTTTATTAGATAATATTAATGTAAATGAACAGGAATGCAGATTATTGTGAACACACAGTACAATCAACCACTGCGGTTTTCAAAGCTTCCTATTTAATACTCTTTGAGTCTTCCATGTATGACAGGGCTTGTTAGGCTACATTTTTGTACCCCCTCTTCTCTCTTTAACCATTATGACTTTCATGTGACTTACGATTTAAATGATTATGTGCTGATAGCTAGCCTTGCACATTGTCACTGTGCTTCTTATTTGCAGTTGTATTGGTGTTTGCTTCTTTCTTAATTCCAAATGTAAAATGCATATCAGATGCAAAGAAGGTAGGAAGGAGAGTTGCAAATGAGTTTGAGTGGGAGGCATGGGTGGTGGAGAGCTTCTGCTTTGATTTCTGTGACTACAAAAGATTCCTTGGTGAAGATATTTTAAGATGTCTAAACACAACCTCCCATACACAAATTCAAAACCACTCAGACATAAAACTAAGGCTATTCTTAGTGCTGTTTATTAGAGGTCATGAACATGTTTCGGATGATGCTGAAAGTACCAAAAGGACACAAGATGTTAAGAAGAGGGAAACAAAAAAGGGATGGAAAACAAAACAGGAAATCTAAATGTAATACTAAATATTATTTATTGTTATAAAACGTTAGTGCTACCAGTTTCTCTTATCATAAGGTTGCCTGGCTTTTCACAGAAGATGACTCTGTTTTCAGTTGCTTATAATTTTTCCAAACTTTACCTATTCAGGCAGAGATTCTACATGTTGGATGTCTATGTGGAAAGTTGTGATTGTGATGCTTTATTTATTAACTCATTTATTCATTTTTTTAAACTGCAGCCAGAGCAGTCCATCCAGTTCTGAGAATTGGAATAGTGAAAAATATATTGGTTTTCTTCTTTAAAAAAAAAAAAAAAAGTACAGATTTTTTTTTCTTTGAAATGCTTTAGGCTTCCCATGTGTTGGGGCAGGGGCTGACATTTAATAGGTAGGTGGACTAGCTAAGCAGATGGGACCCTGAGCAGGGAAAAGAGAAAGATCTTTGGACTAGAAGTTGTGGAAGGAAACAGAAATGGAAGTATGGAGACTGGGAGCCAACACAAGCAGTACCAACTGAGAATAAGGTGGGCAAGTGAAAAGAACTAGTGGCAGAGGAGACATTGATTGAGGAACAAGGGCAAAGGAAAAATTGAATGATTGACTAAGTTGATTGGGAGATGGAATAATTAATATTGTACAAGAAGCTCAAACCATGATTCAGAAACAAGACCAGAAATAAAATATTAGGGAACAGCCTGGAGGAGATAAGGCAGAAGGGGTCAAAATTAAGAAGGGTTCACAGAAAAGTCTGTCTCCTACACTCCCCAGTTATATTTCTCTCCAGACCCAAAAATAGAAGCCAGAATTTCTGAATATTACGGCAAATGTCTGTGAAACACAAAAGGAGAGTGGCCTCACCCTTACTACTGGTCCACACATGCCATTGTATATATACACATAATGCTAGTATTTAATTACATAATACATAATGTTAAAAAGTATAAGTAAAGTGAAGTTGATTTAAAAAGAAAAATCATTCCATGTTTCCAAAATGAAAAAGAAAAAGAAGGTTTAATTGAAATTACTTTATTAATTGGAAAACTGATTTGATGAAAACGTCTAACTATCTCTCATAGCAAATGAAGCAGGGGATTACAGAGAGAAAGGGCATTCTCACAGCCAGGACAATTGTATACAGTACTGGAGAATTAGATTCTTCCTTTGCTTCTGATACAAAATTCCTATAACATGCACAGCAAGTTACTTATAAATATCTCACAGGTGGTCATGAATGGCATATTTCCTGTTCTCCCATTACCTGACACAAGGTGTTGGGGTCTGATTTGTTGAACTGTTGAGCACTTAAAGCTGCAAGTGAAGTTGATGGGAGCTGAACAGGAACATTCCATCTCACAAAGTAAGTATCAAATTTTGGGGAAAAAAATATTGACCCAGATTGGGATGGAACTTTAAAAGTTTTGTATTTTGCATGAGAAAATATTGGGGAAAATGTCAAAACTGCCATGGAGTTTGGTAGCCCTCAGGGCCCTGGTTCCCATGTTCCTTCAGCTTAGCAGGCTACTACAAGTGCCAAAACTCTCAAAGCCCAGGGATATCAGCTCTGTTGAAGTATGTCAAGTGGGGAACTAAACTGATGCCCCACAGATGGGCAAATTATGAAGGCTGGCATGCTGACAGGTAGGCAAGGAGAGGTCTTGGACAGTTTGGGAACCCAGTATCCCACCAGATGGTCAGCTATGGAACTCAGCAAAACAGGGAATTTGACAGCTAATGCATTAGTTGACTGACAAGGAAGACCAGGACGAGAAGTAGGCTGTTAGCTTTTTATCAAAAGCTTCAATAGAATTGACATTTTAGCTCAGCATTTTCTGACAGAACTCTTCTTAAAAAAAGGCTTATCAAATCTATTATCAAACACTATATAATGCTCAGTGCTGTGAAAGAAAAGGTCCTAGATAACTTGGGAACCCTAAAATAGCTTGGATAAATTTGACCTTGATCTTACGGCATTTCAGTGTCCCATCTAGAAAATGGGATGATCACCTTAGAAAGGGCTGAAGCAGTACTGAAAAGCCCTTGCAGAAATCAATAATTCTGTCTTTGAAGCCGGGTTTGAATAGTGTACAGTAATAAGGCAGAGGGTTACATAATTAATAAGGAGAGTAAAAAATATGAAGAGCTCTCTGCTAAGGTTACTTACACAAGTTCAAATATTCTGGGAAAATTCTCCCAGGATTGCTTTTCTGGTAGACAAATTCACCCTGGAGATGTCTGAACAGGCATTTGAATGCTGAGCCCTTGAGGAGCAGGGAGCTTGCAGTGCTGATGCTGTGCAGCCAAAGGGCGCTTGTGCACACATCTCAGCATGATCTGCTGGCTTCCTTAGTCTTCCTGCACAGGGCATCCTTGATGGACTGACCCGGACTGCTCTGAGTCAGCTTGTGTCTCCCTGCAGAACAGTGTGGGGACTCTGAAGGGAACATGTTTTGCTCCCTGCTCAGCTGGAGCAGCAGAGTCTCCCTGGGTGGAGGAGAGAAGCAAAGCTCCTTGGGATGTGCTCTGGCTTCCCTCAGAAGACAACATGCACAGACATTCACTCTTGAAGGAGAAACTTTCTCAGGAGTGATTTAACTCTAGTTGTTTCTGAGTTATCTCTCTTCTGGAGCAGCAATTTTTGCTCCGGGAGAAAAATACTGAACGCTTATACACACTGGGCGTTAATACACATATATTTGTCTGCTCCGACATGCCAGAGATCCGGTGTGTCAGAGCAGATTCGATTAATCGAGTCTGTGGAGCACACGAGCTGATGCACCTGGTGCTGCATTGCACACATTTGTATAAATGGCAAAATGCATGTCAGCACTGAGAAAATGGTGGCAATGCGCTTCTGAATGAAAACACCTTCGATGTGTTTTAGTTCAAAAGTGCAACATCGCCATTTTCTCAGCACTGACATTCATTTTGCTGTTTATACAAATGCATGTGCCGCAGTATAAGAAGCATACCCGGGTAATTATCTCAATGAACCACCCATTACGGCAAATAAACAGAGCTTCTCCTTAGAAAATTTTGATCCTATCTCTGAGATCTGCACCAGTGTAGAATGAACGCTATTTATCATAACTGTTTTGCTCTAAATTATTCAAATGCCAAGCTGGGATAAAAGCCATGTGATTCTATGGGTTAAGTACAGTGATGGGACTCTCAGTTGATAACCATGAAAATGGCCCTCTAAATCTGATGAGAAGGTATCAAGTTATATTTTCCAATTATGCATGAGTTTTATATTTACTTTCTATTACTTCATTTGAATATCTTCTTACTGAAGCCCTGAGTTAGCAAAACACATAGGCATATAAATTGTGCTTTACAGGAAGGGGACCCAACTTGTTATTTCTTTAATTGGATTAAAGCACACCACATTTTGCTATTAATTGCAATTATCAATTGGCTAAATAGCTTAATAACTACATACCTATTAATGTCCCATATTTTGCTAGTGTTGTCCATGGAGGCAGAAGCCACAAAATCTCCACAGGAGTGCCATGAGCAGCCCCAGATGGCACTGGCATGCCCTTCCAAAGTCAGGATGCATTCACCCTTTGAGAAGTCCCATATCCGTACTGTAGTGTCTCCACTTGAAGTGACCAACTTGGTGCCACTGTTACCAGGCATAAAAAAGAAAGAAAGGGTAATTAAGTAAAGCTGCAGGTAAAGATTACTTCAAAGCCCCTAGCAAACCTATACTTTTTCTCTATGAACTCAGGTTGGTTACCTAAAGTTAAATTTTGAATGATAATATATACACATAAAATACATAAGAGAAATCTCAGAATTTTGTCTTTACAGAGCTTTCTGGCACATCATAAATGAAGATGTCATTATAATATGTATTAATGAAGTCATACTAAAAAAAAAGAAAAATACTCAAAACAAACCCTCTTGAGTGGAAAATAAAGGTGTATTTAAAAATACAAAAGTAATGTTTTAAAATCTATTTTAAGCAGTAGAGCAATAAATGTAACTTAAGTCCAAACACTACTTTCGAAAGGGAGTAAAGTAGGTCAAAGGAAGGATGTTTTATTTCTAAAACCCATGTTGATTTTTACCCATAAACTATTAAATAAGGATTTCAATTCTGTCTCTTCTTTCAAAACTGTACTCAAGATGTAACAGCTTCATTAGTTCATTATATAAATGTATGCCTCTATTAAAGCAAATGGAGCGTCCCCAAGTTCCCCAGGTCAAGGATCTGGCCTTCTATGTTATTTATAAATTGCCTCAAATAATAAAAGCCTTAGGGTCATATACAAAATGAGGCACAATAAATGGCTTTTAATCCAAGGCATCAAATAAAATCTAAGCTACTCTTTCTTGATGTCTCACCTACTTTAAGAGAACGGTGATAAAATCAGATAGATCTTGCCTTTAAGGTCCAACATGCCCTGGCTTAGCTTGACTAATGGCAGTAGTATTATCCAGAGTCCTGTTTGCTGGGGACATCCTTCTACCAGTCTCTTTGATGTGAATATCTAGGGACCAAGAGAAGCTCAGGTACTTACAATACACTGTGATTGTTATCAACCTGAGATACTTAATCCTTTGTTGCCTTGTAACAAAGGGGGTTTTTTAGTCACACACGTTATTATTTTCTTTCTATCGCCATTTCCCATTTAGCATCTGTCAGACTGTTCTGTAAATATTTAGACAGAGAGTTTAAAAAATAGTGTCTCACTTATCTGGCAGATCATAAGGGTGCACTTGCCATTATGAAATATCATCTAGGTATATTTTTTAGACATTTTAACACATATGGTTTCTATCTGTTATATTTGAAAAAAATATCATTAAGAAGTCTAATAAAAAGCAGTTATGCCTCATGTCTAGGAGAAAGTTTTTAAATCAAAATCTCCTTTTAATTTTCAGAACTGTAACACTTTATAACAGATCTCAAGCATCAGGACTTGCAGTCTAAGCAAAGATTACTGGGTGACACCTAATTTTCCCAAACTGCTAAAACACTTTTCCTTTTAAAACTTCATGTTAATAATAATTCAAGCTTAAAAGTAGAAAGCAATAAGTTATTATCTTTATTCCTTTTTTTAAAACCACAATTTGGGTCATTAGTCATTAGAAATAAATGGAGGATTTCCTTAGAAATATAGTCTTGGGCTAAAATTATTTAAGTTTTCTTTAAAAACAGGTTTTAAAGCAAATTGGAGAGAAGCTATAACATTTGCCAAATGAAAAATATGACGGATTGAAAGTGGTAACCTCATTAATGGTAATTGTAGTGAGTCAAAAAAGAGCTTTTTTGCTTTCTTCTTCAGTATATGAATCCACAAATGCTATTTGAAGGATAAGTTCATTTGGCCAAATTCTGTGCCTTGTCGGCACAGGCATCTGACAAAAAATTCTCAAAAAGTAGACACAACTAGTCTAAATGGATGCTCAAGTAGTCTAAATGAATCCTATCTGGCATTCTATGGTAATGCAAATGAAGTCTAGTTCTCTTTACAAAATTTGGGGAGAGGAGAAAGTATGCCAGTCAAAACATGGTTTATGAAGAGAAACATCTCATGAAATATAGATTCTAATAATGCGAGACAGGACAAGGCAGTAGTGAAATAAAGGAATCAAATACCCCATCTTCTGCAACATTATGGTCTATATAATGAATACAAGTTTTGTGACTATTGTTCATTAAAGTAAATGGGATTACACCAACTGAGATTTTCCCCTGTATTTCCCCTGTATAAGAAACATCCTTGGCATACCTGGGCAGCACACACACAGATCACAACTGACAACTGTAATTGGACCATTTCAGCATTGAACTTACATTATGAAGTTATGAAATGGATACCTTTCAAAACCACTTAAAGTACTAATGATTAATAAAAACACATGGAGTGACATTTCTAAACCTTAAATTAGGCTCATAAATCATTATTTCCTGATTAGAACATTAGATATGCATTCACTATGCCTGACATTTTTCCAATGCCTAGATCAGTTATTTCCTGTCTGTAGCATACTTTGTACTTATAGATAAAAGGGAATAAATATTGAGAGTAACTTTGTTATCTTCATCTAATGATGAATTTTAAAGAGCATCTAATATTGAAAGCAAATATATACGTATCTCTTTATTTGAATGATTTTAATATCTTAATTAAATTATACCTACATCAAACATTTATCTTTCTATATTTCACACATACAAAACAGATCTATAACTTATTGATGTTTTTAGTAAAATATATATTGCTCACGCAATGCAATAATATATATTGCAACTGAAACAGAGGCCAAGATAACTGCTGATAATTGTGACTGTGTTATTTTTATTAGGCATATAAAATATATAATTAATAGTATAACTAATAGTGTAAATGTATAATTGAGTTCAGGTCAATTAGATGAAGGGTGTGTTTCCCTCCTCTCTTCCCACTGGCCCCCCTCTAATTTACAGGGTAACCAGTACTTGAATTTTTTTGATTATTAACAGAATGCATATTCTGCTAAAATTAAAAAGAAAATGAATAATCTCAAACATAAAAAATAATTTAGATTATACATGAAATTAGATGCTTAATTATAAGAATTTGCAGTGGTATAACTTAGTAAGCAACTATCAATTAGGGCTATGCGAAGCTTCAGTTGCTGATCTGATTCGGTGGAGATTTGGCCCAACTGGGTAACCAAATCTCCAAATCCAAATCAAATCAGGAGACCCTTTAATCTCTCCAAATCAAGTTGGAACCCTCCGAATTGATTCGGAGAGATTCGATGATTCGGACATAGACACAGCTTTAAATGTTTTTTCTACATACTTCAAGGTACCAGGCGGCTCGTGAATATTGAGATGCTGGGGAAGATGGAGCATCCCACGGGAGTGTGGGGAGGTCCTCAGCGCACTCAGAAGTGGACCAGAAGCATTTCTGGTCCACTTCCAGGTCCACTGCAGAGCACACGGGCCCGCCCCCACCACCCCAGCTCGGTGACTGGTGCCTCCTGTGTCTGGAGGTGCACCTGGGGTCCCCCCATGGCCGATCGCTGAGCCAGGGGGACACGGGGGGGTCCACCGCCAAGTATGTGGACGGCACCCCATGCTCTTGTGGAACATTCCATCTGCCCCACCACCTCAGTATTCACGAGCTGCGCCTGGTACCTCAAGATATGTAGAAAAAAACATTTAAAGCTGTATCTATGGCCAAATCACTGAATCTCTAAATCAGCAACAAATCTTCAGATTCAGATTCGGCTGAATCGAATTGGGACAGTGATCTGAATCAACTACTTGAATCACTATGCCTCAATTCAGGCTAAATCTGAATCGAATACGACCTGTTTCACACACCCCTACTATCAATCCTCTGGATCATGGTGTACATCAGGGGTGTCCAACCTTTTTGAATGTGGGGCTGGATCACGAACTTGATATCACCCAGTGGGCCAGCGAGCCATATTCAAAGACCTCACAGGAAGTGACATCACATCAGGAAGTGATGTCACATGACCCTTGACACACCTCCTTCTTAAATAGTCCCAATCAGCTCCTCTGTGCAGGAGCTGGAGAAATGGGCAAGCAATCAACAAAAGTGATTTCCCTTGCTAAAATCTGTTAGAGGGCTGTAGCTTCTCAGTGGTTTCAGCTCCAGCCAAAATTTTTTCACCACTATCTTGAGAATTGGCAACTTTGAGTATTTGAACCAAAAGAGATGGTGGCATTAAAAGGTAGGAATGTACCTAATGAAAAAGACAGGAGAAAATGAAAAAGAAAGGAGAAAGAACTGAAAATGCCTGAGTATGTTGTCCCTGGGCCCACCCAAGGTACTTTTCTGAAATTCAATAGGAATTAGTGTATCATTAAAAAAA